CCCCAACCCGACAAAATGTTCAGTCTTACCCTGATTCAACCATCTAAAAAAAAGTCTACTCTGAGAGGCCTTACTAGGAACTAGATTTTAAATTCCAAACATGAATAAAGCACAGAGGTCCAAAGAGAATCTTCAGAAGTTGAATCAGAAGCCATATTAGGAAGAGGACAAAAATGTTTTGGGTATCAGTAGCAGAAGCTTGAAAAATCTTGGTCCAAAGCCCCACAAGCCTTTTTATCCTTGGCTCAACTCCAAATTTTTTCAATACCCCTTCAACAAACTTCCAATTGCAAAAAAAAGAAAAAAAAGGAAAATGTTATAACCTTCAGAAATATTTGTTTCTCAAGATTCAAACTGCTTTAAATAAACATATACTGGCACCGTCTTCCAAATATGTCTTTATCATGAGTCGAGTTAATCAGATACACTAGTGCATACATATACTAATCCAAAAACTGCTCACATTATCCCAGCCCCTTGCCTAGACCACCCTTTATGGCATCCTATCTGAATGCCATATCTAGAACAGAAGCCTCCTTTCCTATCCCAACTCAGGTCTTCAACTTGAATAATACAACTCCATGTGTACTTAAATTTGCCTATTAACACCTTTTTTTTTTTTAAGGTAGTGGAAGACAGTTTCAGAAGTGTGTATGGATTCAAGCACCTACCATAATTTGAGAACCTATGTGCCAAATAATTCTTTTAAGCTATTCACTTGCAGATTCAAATTATTAATTTTATAAAGCTCAGGATTCTTATTTAAAAATTAAGAATTAAATAAATTAAATTAATAAATTAATAATAATAAATTAAATTAAATAAGAATTCTTATTCTTATTTTAAAAATTAAAAACTGAAGACTAAAGAGTTAACTTGCCCAACTCTGTGCCATGGGATAGCTAGAAAACTGACTTAAGGGACACCTGGGTGGCTCAGTAGTTGAGCATCTGCCTTCGGCTCAGGGTGTGATCCCAGGGTCCCGGGATCGAATCCCACATCAGGCTCCCTGCAGGGAACCTGCTTCTCCCTCTGCCTCTCTGTGCCTCTCATTAATAAAAAAAAAAAATAAAATCTTGAAAAAGAAACCTGACTTGAGATGCATATTGACTTGATTCAAGTCGTCAATGGTGCAAAGTGCTCTGAGAAGGCCCCAATCAGGCAGTTTTTAATCTGCCTGGTTACTTAACAATCATCCACCTTTCCATGCCCAAGCTCACCCAAGGATTGGTAGCACTGGCAAGAACTACCCTCCTAGAAGAAAATTTATTTTCCCTCTCCCAAAGCACCATCAAACCCCGCCACCCTGAGAACCACAGCTGTTTCCAAGAAACAAATTACCAAGGCCCTTCTCACAGAGTTCACTGGAACTGAAACACACACACCAACTGCCTTCACACCTTCCCATTTAAATTCTTTTCCTGCCTTTTAAAGACCCAAAGATTTCTGTAAAAATCTCCCAAAATGCAATCATCCCAACGAGTCCTTATTCCTCCACCAACATTGCTATTTCTATACCTAAATCTGGTATTATGAAAGTAACAGCTATGTCTGCTCATTCCCCTTCTGTCACCATCAATAACAGCAATTAATCAGTAACAAACAAGCCTGCTAGCTCTTACAATCAGAGGGAGGATGCTCCCCTCTCCTTTAATAGTAAGCTGATAATAATGTTCTCCTAAATAGATTATGTGAGCATTCAAGAAAGGAAGAAACAAAAAACAAAACTTTGTTACATGCCTGGAGAAAAAAAAAATGTATAACTTAAGTATTCGGTCATATTCAAGATTTGAGTAATCTTGTTATTTGTACACACTTGATTCTACTTCTTCTAAGGAATCAGCGATCAATGAAAGCAAAACATGAAACTATGCTCAAATAGCTCATAGTTCACATAAGATTTAAACACAGCCGTTTTTAAAAAACCTCCAAGTGTACATAAATAAGGACCAAAAATCCACACTCTGGTGTGGGTTCCTGATCACAGAGAGAATCGGCTTTTTAGAAGATATTTCTAAAATTCCTAATAGTGTCCTTCACTTTAAACTGTTGTTTCCTTCCAAGAAATCTTACTTAACGAAACTGACAAATCACTTATTGCAATTCTGTCTGAATTGTACTCACAACAGAAACAGTTACAATACATCTGTATCTTAGTGAAATGCTTATAATAAGGGGTGGGTGGGGAATCTGACTGAACTCTCTATTGAGCAGCACCCAGTGCACCACCTAGTGGAAGTTGTATAACTTTGTAATTAATACTCTTTTAAAGGACAGAAACCCTAGGTAAGACTACAACAAATACTATTCAAGTAGCCTAAATCTCTTTCCAGTCCCCCACGTTGCAAGAGGGCTGTGTTCATAAGAAGAGTGGAGTCATTTCCTGTGCAAACTAATAGATCGATAAGGGTTTCTTAATGGAAATCTTTGGGCGCTAGAAATTTTGACAGGAGAGTAAAAATTAAGACATTGATGCAAAAACAAATAAATCAGAGACAGACTGTCAGGGCTTGTAGAAGCAGAACCTTATATCCTAGAAGAAGAAGTTATGTCAAAATGGGCATGTTACAGGCCACAGATGCATCTGCCAGGCAAAGGGACTACTTAAAGATTACACAGTCCATTCACAACTCATAAGTTTCAAGTTCCTGATGATTAATAAGTGTAACATAACCTAGCAATTGTCCAGCATTCCCCAAGCCTTGACACTATTTGAGAGGTTCTTCCCAACTATCCATCTAAGCCTACTCTCCATTAACCCCCAAACTCCCTTGCTTGCACTATTCTAATTGAAGAATAAATGATTTTTATTTTCAACTTTTCTCCTAAATTTATAGTTAAGTTTCCGCAAAAAGAAGTTGTAAGTCATGACCAGAATGCATCACGCTTCATTTTTATTTGCCTTACGCATAGTATTTCTAATCAACTCAGGAAACAGTACTGAAGTCCACTGCTAAGTTACAGATGCAAGCATAAATAAGATATGGTTCTCCAATTTGGAAAACTTCCCAAAATTTAAAATAGAGATTTTCACACAGCACCACTACGAATTTGTTTTGTTTTGCCTGTGTGAAAAATTACCTTTCTGGTGTGATTTAAACTATCTCAGCAACCTCGAGGAGGAAAAAACAAAAACCTAAGAGTCGCTATTTTTTTTTACTTGGAAATAAGCATCTCCATCTGTGACTTTTGTACCATGTGATCAATACAGAAGCTTGCCTGATGGTGGGAACCTTAGGAGATCCCGGATTAAATCCATTATGAGTATAAAATAAGGTAGGAGTCAAGGGACCTGGGGCAGAATTCTCTTCATCTCTAGGGCTTCCACTTTATATATTTGTAAAATGGGCATGATATTCACTACCTGCCTCCCAAGAAAAGGAGTAAATAGAAATACAGGTATCTCCCGTTTTTCACAAGTTCGTGTTGCACTACTTTGCTTATACGACAGACCTTAGAATCTGTTTTCACTAACTGAAAGAAACCCAAAGAGGTTTATTTTGCATCAGCTGGTATAGAGGCTGCACACACCCGGAACAGCAAGAGTGGCGGTGCCAAGCTCCTTCCTTGAGAACACTCAGCATCTCAGCATCAAGCCGCAGCAGCCTTGACCTGTGTCTGAGCCTCTGCGCTGTATCTTGACTTATTTTCTGCGTCCATCAGCAAAATGTGTCCTAAGGTATCAGAAAAGCCTAAGAGGTTTTTTGGGAATCTGGAACACTAAAAAAATTTCCCGTATACATTAATAGTGAGTGGGGTTTTTTTTGTTGTTGTTTTTTGTTTTTTGTTTTTTTTTTTTTTTGCTTCGCAGCAGTTCCGTTAAGAAAAGATTTCATAGGAACGCTCTATTTTCACATAGCAGGGAAAACCTGTACTGGTTTGTAGAAGCCCAGTGCACCCAGAAGGAGAGAACACTGCTCCGAGAGTTCTCACTGTGCCATCATCACTGCTGAAACCCGGTGACCTTCACCATTTCACTTGTTAACAAATAGTGAATGGGGGAAAAAAACGGTACTAAGCGAGTCAAAGAAAAGGTAAGACCAATTCGAGGTGCAAATCAGTAATTGCCTGGCTTGTCTGCAAAGTATTACCACATGAGTACCAAGCAGGTGCATCCCCCAAACCTAAAACCCGGAGACTGTTTTTAGAGAAGCTTTTATTATTATCATCATCATCATTATTATTATTATTAGTTGAATGCTAACATTCTTAAAAATTAGAAGAAAAAAGATTCACGATTGTACTCCCCTCCACGACAGAGTGACAGAAGCAAGGTTCCACCCCCACAAGCCCTCCAAACCTGCGCAGGCATTCCTCATCAACAGCCCTCCCCCTCGCCCCTATCGCTCCGCTCGCCTCGCCGCTGGAGCCCAGACAAAGGTGACTCACCCAGCGAGGTCTACTTGTCACTTAAGGAAAAGTCCCCAAACTAGTTCACGCTGAAGACTGCTCCTTGATCCGAAAAATAATAAATAGTAAGTACAGTGTGAGGATGTGTAAACGGCACTGCAATGCGCCTGCCTCCGGAAAATATGTAATTAACGATACCCAAGACACCTTTCTGGCTTTAGAAAAGAAAAAAAAAAAAAAAAAGAAGAAGAAGAAGAAGAAGAAGGGGCACTCAGCTCAGCGCCACTTACCAGCAGGTCCTCTTCCCTCGCGAGCCTGCCCGCCCAACTCCGCAGTCGTGCTCCACCTGCGCGTCCTCGCGCCCCCGGCTGCCCCCGGCTGGCCCAGCCGCCCGCCGCCGAGTCCCCCCGGGGGTCCCGCCCGCAGCGCCCCCACCCCCCCGGCCCCGCCCCCACCTCCCCGCAAGGTGTCGCCGCCGCCGCCGCCGCCGCCGCCGCCGCCGCCGCCGACTCCCGGGCGGAAGCGTCTCGAGGCCGGCGGGAGGCTCCCGGGGACGCGGCCCGGCCCTGAGCGAGCAGCCGGGGAAGAGACCCCACCGCCCGCGCCGCACCGGGGCCCCGACAGGCGCTGCAGCCCCGGCGCCCCGTTACCTGCTCCGGGCAGCCGTGGCCCGCGGGAGGCGCGACCGCTCCGGCCCCTGCGGCCCCGGCTCGGGAGGCGAAGAGGCAGCAACCGCAGCCGCGGCGAAGGACAATCGGGAGCCGGCGGGCTCGGCACCGCCTCGGCGGGCGCAGGACGCACGAGCCCGGCGGGAGCCCGGCCCCCACCTCCAGGGCAGTGAGTAACCGACTCGGCCCCCTCCCGCGGCGGGGCGGGGCCGCGGCCAGAGGGGCGGGGCGAGGAGGGGCCGCTCCGCCCGCGGGCGGGAGCTCCGCCGCGGGGCGGGAGCTCCGCGGACGCTTCGTAAAAGGCGCCTGCTGATAGGCTGCGGCAGAGGAGGGCGTGTCGGGCTTGAGGGCAGCCGCGCCAGAGGCGCTCCCTCGTTGGTCGAGAGGAGAAAACAAAGCCGAACTCTGATTGGTCAGGACGCTGCAGCTCCTCTCCCTCGCCCCTCAATCACCGGGAGCTCCGCCCCGCCGCTCTGCTCCCAGGTGGCGGAGGAACCCGCTGCTTTGCAGACCTGCAGCCTCTCCGAAGCGCAGAGCCCCCGTACCTGGGCAAAGAAAGGCCAGAGGCGAGCGGTTCTTTCTCGTCTGAACATGATGAATAACAGCCAGTCTCTAAGGTCGCTTAGCTTCACAGAGGACTCCTGGGTATTTTTTAAATGCTGCACACGTTCAGAGGGAAATTGTCCTGCGCAGAGAAAAGGCATAAAATGTTTTCACTCTTGGCAAAATGATGCGTGACTTTTTTTTTTTTTCTCGTTTTACTCTGTATTCCATGTGAGACATTTGTTACTTAGAATGCACCATGCTGTAAACAGATCTATGGGAAAACTCCCTGACAAGAAGAACCTAGAATCCAAACGACTAAATAAATAAAGCATTAACAAAAGCCAAAACCAAAAAGGGCAGCATACGGAAAGAAATCCAGGAGATACAAATTGGAGAACTCAGCTAATAACGCAGGGGATTATACGAAAGGAATGTGACAGAATTTCAAGATGTGACTTAGACTTTGAAAGTTGAGATACGTAATCTGAACTCTCAGACCACAGTAGGCAAGCCCTGTGTTATCCTCGCCAGTTTAGAAGGGAGTGAACCCTAACTCACCTGGGAACCACAGTCCCTTAACTCTCTGGCTGCCTTACTATTCTATTTGCTCTTCTTGTCATTGCCATGAGATTCTGAAATAGGCTGTTAGAAATAAAGCACTTCACCCCCAACAACTTCATAAATTATATAGTAGCAGAAAAAGAAGGAAATTGACAAAAATCAAACCTAAAGAATGAAAGGAAAGTTAAGATAAATATGACCTCGAAAAGAAGGATAAAAAACTCAGTACAAAGAATAGAACAAATCCTCTTTTTTCTTGAGAAGAAGGTAAAACTCTTTGGAGGACAGTAACTTTGTTACCTAACACATTTTTTTTTTATAGAATCCTTGTAATAGATGGAATTCTAAATGATAGGCTGAAAATATGTGTCTCAATATACTCTGAGCAAGCATCTTAGTGTTGAGATGTAATTATGTTTAAGTGTGGAAGGAAAAATAAAAGAACTTAGCACTCTCTACTATGAACAAATTGGAAAGAAAACACTCCAAAAGTTTTTTTCACAATAATACCTGAAATTCCACCACTGACATTCTTTCTTTGGGATTAGATCATTTATAACAGAAATTTTTCTTGTATTCATTTACTCAACAAACATGTAATGACTTTAATCTTCAAATTCTAGTTCCTTCAATGAACTGGGCATCCTACTAAGTTTTGTCTTGAACAAGGCAGACTGGAAGCTATTTATCAGTAAAAGAAGGATAATGAACCAGTAAACAGATAAATTTACAGAAAGGAATAAAGAAGAAGAAAGAAGAGTGACCTGAAGGATGAAAGCAATTCTTGAATTTGAGAAAGGAGAGAGAACCATTCTAAGATCTGAGCTGCCACTTAAATCAGAAAACACCAGCTATGCTAAATTTGAGGGCAGTGGCATTGCTAGCAAACAGCAAGAGCCAAGACCCTGAAGGAGGAATAAAAGTGATGCTGTTGGAACAGAGAGAAGACCAGTGTGGCTAGAGTGGCACAGACAGGGAGTGGTGGCAGGCAGGTGAAAGGAGGCAGGGCCCTGTAGGCAGTGGTGGGAAGTTTATAGTTTATGATATGATTCCTGACCAGGTAACACTACGTTACTAATGTCAGGATAACATCATTCTTTTTTTTTTTTTTCCTTTTTCAGAGTCGCCAAAGAAGTGGGCATTCGTTCACTGGGCCAGTCTCTCAGGCATAGATCTTAGAAGAACCGATTCTTTTCCAGGATCTGCCCGATGTGGGGGTATAATAATGAGAATGACACAGACCCAGGTGGATCTACAGACTGTTATTGCACAGATGATGGGGAAACCAGGGTGCTATGGGAACACGATCTGAACTTTCCCCACATCCAGTTAGAAACCGCATTCTGAAAGCATAAGAGCTGAGCAAAGTAGAAGACACAGACTGATGATTGTTTCACATCATCATTGCCTTTGTTTCTTAAAACTCATTAAAAAGAGTGTACATTCCCTTTTAACTATGACATCCCATTTAGGACTGTAATGAGTTAACAGTTTTAATCCTATTTGGCCAGAATTAGGGCAGAGCTGAAGCCCTTGGAGTTAGAGATGTGTTCTACTAGTTCCAGCCTCTTCCCCTGCTTATAGGCAAGGGTTTCTCCTTACTGATTGAGCTCACACCATTTGCTATAAGACACCTAGAAGAAGAAAGCCAGCCCTGCCCTGGAGGGCCAAGTAGGGGAAATGCCGAATGTGAAAGTATCTCTGTGTATCCAGCTGGTGGATGAATCACAAGATGTAGCAACTGACTAAATTAAAAGTTAAATAAGAAATGTAACCACCGAAATGTATGGCACATTGTCCCCAAGAAGGCTGGGAGTCAGGAAATGAGAGACAAGAGGAACTGGGCTACAGTTGCCACTGTCTTCAAACCTGCCTCTCTCTATTCTCCCGTTTTTCTCTGGAAAAGAGCTTTCCCAGCTCCTAAGTCCAGGAGACAAAGAGTAAAGCTACCCCAGTGCTCTCTGACCCCTGACTAAATCAACCACCTTGACCCAATCCCAATTCTGTGGAGAGAAAATACTAGTGGCCTAGGCCGGCCTCTCCCTGTTCTATCCCACTGTCTGTGACGAGGGACGTGATGGGAGTCAGGAGGGTGGAGGGCACCCACCTGGCTCCCAGGGCCCATCTCTGTTCGTTGGCAGAGATTTCCCAGAGAAAGGGCACCAGAGCAATTGCCAAAGAGGCATGCATCCTGCCCCACCACGTTTTCTGTAGTCCCGTCAGTGGGGCTCCAAATTCTGTACAACCTTTGCCTGCCCTTTCACACAAAGATGGAGGCCCAGAGGCCAAGGCCAAAGTCTTCAACGATGACTGCCAGCTTTCTTGACCCTCTTTATTTCAGTTGGCTTCCAGACACTAAGTACCCTTGTCTCTTCCAGTTTCAAGCTGCCATTCCCATTTAAGTCTTCTACTAATTCCCTAATTTTCCTGTGTGATGCATCCCTATTGACATCAATGTCTTTAATGAGCAAAAGCACTTGCCAAGTTGGTGAATATCCCTGAGCACTGTTCTCAGTGCAGCTGGGCCCAGTATGTAGAACAAAGCAGGATGGGCGAGGCAGATGCAAGCAGAAGGCAAACATCTACCTCCCCCTGTTCCTTCCATACATATTCAGAAGAAAATGCGGGTGTTCCCATAACTTTTCTGATGCCCTTTAGGTAATAAAAATCCTTTCATCAGGTAGGCCATAAAACACAGTTTGAATTCAGAAATTGTAATGTGAATGCCAATACACTTTGATCACTGCTTCAAGCTTCATTCAGAGCTGGGCTTTCCCCGAGGTCCCCCAGCTAGGGTCCCACACAGGCAGGCTGGGTCCTCCCAGCAAAGGGAGAGGGAACCTCCTCCAAATCCATAACATAGGGAGAAAAGAGAATTCAGAGGATACCAAATTCATGCTCAACTGTTCCTGCTGCAAGGAGATTGCTCCGGGCCTGGCCAAGGACAAAACAGAGCATTTGCTCTCTTGATGCTTTCTAACAATTTTAGAGACCTAATCTTGAAACATACACCTGTGCATCTCCTGTTCTGGTCAATGCAGTTTTCTATGCCACTTTATCCTCTTAGTTTCTGGTTCTCTGAAGGCTACTTTTGACAAATTCACCTGTGGATCACCTCTGCCTCTGTTCCTCTTGGGCAGGATTTACACATCTCCAGCACAACCCTCTCTCACCAAACAGCTCTCCCCAGGGTCCTCAAGAAACAATTGCACACACTTTGCTCCAAGCAATACTGGAGCGCACCTGACTCTCAGAGCACATGGGTCTTGAGTATTCTCTGTCCTCCTTCCCTGCTCTCTCGCTCTCTCTGAACTGCTGCCATAAACCAATACTTTCAACCTCTCAATTTTAGATCTCTCAGGCCAAAGTCAGATATACTCTAAAAAACAGAAAACAGGGATGCCTGGGTGGCTCAGTGGTTGAGTGTCTGCCTTCAGCTCAGCTTGTGATCCCAGGGTCCTGAGAGTGAGTCTCCCACTGGGCTTCCTGCAGGGAGCCTGCTCCTCTCTCTGCCTGTGTCTCTGCCTCTCTCTCTCCATGTCTCTCACGAGTAAATAAATAAAACTTTACAAAATTAAAATAATAACCAGAGAACATATCACTTTGCCCTTGTGGTCCTGCTGATGACCCCAGGGAGGTCAATGGGTAAGGCCTTCGACCAGAGGTTTGATGGAACACAGCATGGCTTTCTTTGAAGAAAACTTCCTCACAGATCCTCCCTAAACCCCTCTTCTGTTGCCCTTTTATGATCCTATTTTTAGTGAGGGATTTTTAAGAGTCAACAAGGAGCTAAGACATTTCCTTTGAGATCTGCCTCTGGCTCTGGCAGTGTTGGAATTTTACATCCGTTGTCTCCTGCTGCCTCAATAAAACTTGACTTTTACATCTTGGCATACCAATGTGAACCTGCAAACACTGCTTTTGTTCACCAACACCTAGGACATAGGGCTAAGAAAACTTGTTCTCTAAAATCAGAGACCGTTGGAAATTCAGTTGAGTATCAAGGAGAATGGACCTCCTGCCACCACCACCACCTGCCAGAATGATAGGAGCCTGTGGGTCACTTGGCTAC